AAAAACAAAGAAATAGGTTTCTTTTTCAAATCTGCCTGGTTAATTATAATAATCTCTTATGCCTTTACCAAATTTCTGATACTTTTATTTCTTTGAGCATATCAAACATCCTTATTTTGTACTCTGTATCTGATCATTCCAATATCTACTGCTGGTCAGATTCTTCAGTTTTGTATATCTGCCACTTTCACTCATGATAGCTTGTATAGCTCCTGTACTAGGTAACTTTTTTATTGTGATCTCAGGCTCTTTGGAATTTTATTTGTGTGATATTTTATTTTTTTATTTTTTGAAGTTTGGCTTTTTAAAGTGTGTTACTCTATAGAAAATAGTTTTCCTTCAGCCAGGTTCCTGGGTATGCTACCAGAGTATCCAGAGTATTTTGAATTAACTTCCTAGCTCAGGTTCTTTTTATCTAGCTAATCAGTAGTATGAATTCTTTTCACAAAGCCTTGTGTATGAGGCTTAGTGGTTAGGCATTCTCAGAGAGGCTTTGTCTCCCCAGTCTGCCTCACCATAAGCCTGAAACCAGCGCAAAGCTTTATTAAGTCTTTATCAATTCTCTCTTCTGGGAAGATTTTTTTCCCCTAGTCCATCAGCTGAGGAGGTCACCCCTCAGGAGTCTAGGTTGTCTGTGTGTAATGGGAAAATTTGATTCCACTTCCACCTGCTCTGGCCCAGGTTTTCTCTGTCTCTACTCTTGGGGTCTGTAAAAAGCCAGACTCTTGGCAGCCTGAGACCAGGAAAATAGCCCCATCACAAGCCCCAGATTCCTCCCTCCCTTCACCAGGAGGATTTTCTCTTTCTTATTCTAGCCAACAGGGATTTCCTTTCCTTTTCTACCAGATCAGTCATGCATTAAGGAAAGACTTTTCTTCCATATTTCATCCATCATTTTTAGATGTGGAGACCAGGGAGATATTGCACTCAGTGTCCAATGTGCCATATTGCTGAAAAGCGACAATTTGAAATTAGTTTTTAGTAAGTAAAGTATATCTGTCTCTGATCTAGATGCCCCAGTAAACAATTTTAAAGCCTCGCTTTAGACTTACAAGCTCCTGAACCTTAAAAAGAAAATCTTGGAACATACGGTTGGGGGATGTATTTGCTGTGTATCACTGAGGATTAGGCCCACACGCGAATCTGAGCCGAGCTGATTGGAAGATGTGTACTTAAGATCCAAACCTACTTACTAAATCTTGCAGCCACTCTCATTAACCACAGCTTTATCACACTGCACTCTCAGCCACTAATGGCCTGTAAATTGTCCCGGGGCCAAAGGAAGTTCTCATAACTTCTTAGGCATTAAACTTTCTCCATTACCTCCTAACAAAGTATTAACAAATCAGAGGACACCCTCTGAGTTATAAAGGAAGTCTTTTTTGTGAATGGGATTTCTTTAATAGAAAGAAATTTGCTTCCTCACTGCAAGAACCACCAACAGGATGCACCCCGTTGCCCCACCTGGTTCTTGGGGTCTTATTCCCAGATGATTATCATGTTTGTGTCTCTGTGGGTTGTGTCATGCCTTCGTTCACTGAGTTATAATATGCTGAGTGCCTACTGAGTACCTCCTAGGGACCAGGCATTATGCCAGACACTGGAGGTGTGAGGAGGACGCAAACGTGATCTCGGCTCTGGACAAATTCACTTTCTATTGGAAATAACGGAAATGTAAACACTAATTACAATAAAAAGCACTTAATACTGCAAGTGAGGTATAAACACAGTTATTTATGTCCTGATGAGCACCGGATGATGTATGGAAGTGTCGAGTCACTATACTGCACACCTGAAACTAATATAACACTCTATGTTAACTATACTGGAATTAAAATTAAAAAATAGGTAAACACAGTTATTTGCGTCATAATACATTGTTCTCTTTTTGAGATATAATTGATATGTAACGTTATATTAGTTTTGGATGTACAACAAAATGATTTTATATATATATATATATATATATATATATATATATATAGTGAAATGATTACCATAAGTTTAGTTAACATCCATCACCATACAGAGATACAACCTTTTTTCTTCTCATAAGAACTTTTAGGGTCTACTGTCTTTGCAACTTCCAAATATATACTACACTATTGTTAACTACTTTCATTCCCCAAACCCACCTCTGGCCACCATCAGTCTGTTCTCTGTATCTGTGGGTTCAGGTTTAGATTCTGCATATAAGTGAGATCATATATAGTATTTGTCTTTCTCTCTGACTTACTTCACTTAGCATAATGCCCTCAAGGTCTATCCGTGTCGTCACATAGGGCACAAAAGGCAGGATACTGTTTTCCACAGCGTCTAGGCCAATTTACGTTCCCACCAACAGTGCACAAGAGCTCCCTTTTCTCGACATCTGCCAACACCTGTTCTCTTGTCTTTTTGTAATAGCCATTCTAACAGGTATGAGGAGACAGCGCATTGTAGCTTTGATTTGCATTTCCCCGATGGTGAGAGATGTGGAGCACCTTTTTATGTACCTGTAGGCCATTTGTAGGCCTTCTTTGGAAAAATGTCTATTCAGCTCCTCTGCCCATTTTTTTCTTATCAGATTGCTTGGTTTTATTCCTATTGAGTTATCTGAGTGCTATATATATTTTGGATATTCACCTCTTAACAGATACAAGATTTGCAAATATCGGGGCGCCTGGGTGGCTCAGTCGTTAGGCGTCTGCCTTCGGCTCAGGTCATGATCTCAGGGTCCTGGGATCAAGCCCCACATCGGGCTCCCTGCTCTGCAGGAGGCCTGCTTCTCCCTCTCCCACTCCCCCTGCTTGTGTTCCCTCTCTGTGTCTCTCTCTGTCAAATAAATAAATAAAATCTTAAAAAAAAAAAGATTTGCAAATATCTTCTCCCATTCAGCAAGTTGCCTTTTCATGTTGCTGATGGTTTCTTTGCTGTGCAGAAGCTTCTTAGTTTGAAGGAGGCCCACCTGTTTATTTTTCCTTTTGTTGCCTTTGCTTTTAGTGTCTTTACTGAGACTGAAAAACTTTAACATTTTAAAAGTATTTAGAATCTGATAGTGAAATGCTAAAAGTTGGATGCATAACGCAGGGTGGAGTATTCTGCTCACCAGATTTGGCACCTTCCCTAGGGACCTCCCTGCACTGGGGTGACCAGATGATGACTATTTACTACAGCTGTTATCACTCTCATCCCTTAGAAAACCTGCTAAGCACGATGGTGCTGGGCAGAGTTTGATTCTCAAAGCACAGTGCTATGCGTTAGAAACCTGTATGTCAGCATCTCTGGTTTGGGTTTCCATCCTTCAGGTTTTCCAAGTTTTTTTTTTTTTTTTTTGAGAGAGAGAGAGAGCGCATGCGCACACAAGCAGGGGGAGGGGAAGAGAGAGAAGACAACTCCCCGCTGAGCAGGGAGCCTCATGCAGGACTCGGTCCCAGGACCCTGGGATCATGACCTGAACCGGAGGCAGAGGTTTAACTGACTGAGCCACCCAGGCGCCCCCAGGTTTTCCAAATTTTTACATTTAATGGGCACTGATGCTGCCATATCCAATGTAAGCATTCTGAACCTGGCACTTGACCTTTATTAGTTACTCAGAGGCCTCATTTGTAAAATAAGTTTGGTATCTTATTAGAAACCCCACTATTTTCTCTAGGTTATTGGGAGGAGCAACTGAAGTAATAGAAGTCAAAGTGTAAAAAATAATGTTATAAATTTCTAAAGTATTATCATTATTATTTTTGGAGTAATATCAGAGTATTAGAGCATTTTATGTTATTTGAGTCATTTTAGTAGTTTCTTAACATAAAAATAGCTCTGGAGATACTTTAAAATAGTTATTACAAGTTAATAGAATGATTTGCATGCTCATATTAATTTTAAAGCATAGAAGAAAAAAATTTTCTTTGAATACTCTAGAGGCCAAAATGGAAGGATTCTGTTTGGATTAACATGTTGGAATATATTTAAATATAGACTAGACTACAATTTTTTTGTACTGAATCCAAAAATATACCATTCTTTTTCTGCCCATGTCATTCAGTACTGAAGTAAGCTTAAGAGATTGCAGTGTCTGAGTGATTAGACAGGAACAGAATGAATTATCTCTGTGGTTGCATGAAACCTCTCCTCCTCTTCATGCTAAGAGTCAGGAATAACTCAGTTCTATAACAATAATAATATTAGCAAACATTTCTGAGAGCTTGCCCTGTGATAGATCCTGAGGTAATTCATATTATCACTTAACAACGTGCATCAGATACTAGTTCCAAGCCTTTCAAGAAATTCACTCAACCCCTGCTACCCCCAATGCACTAGGCATTGTTTATTTCCATCTAAGAGATGAGAACGTTCAGAGAGGTGACAGAGTGTCTTAGAGTCCCCCACCTGGATGGGGCTGGGGTTGGAGCCCAGGCAGCTGTCCCAGGACCCACAGTCTTCACCCCTGGCTCTTCCCAACGCCCTCTGCCTTCTGTGTCACGTCAGCTTCATTCCCTTCTTGTGGGTCCTGTCTCTCCTGTGACAACACTTGGAGCTCCCCATTCTCCAGGTGCGAGAATGAAGGATAACAATAAGTAGAAGAACCTTGAAACATCCCACTTACCAGCTTTGGGCAGCTGTTGAACCCAGCTAATCCTCGATGTGAAAGAAACACTATACACTCGCCTGACAAAGCATCAAAGAAAGAAGTGTCTGTAGAGCATTTATCACCTTGCCTGCATGTTTCACACCTGATAGACGTTCTTCATTACAATTATTCAAAACAACCAAAGAAAGGATCTCACACTATAAAATCAAGCCATGTTTTCTCAACTTGTAAGCAAAGGCCACATGCCAAGGAAACTATGTTCCGGTGTATGTCAGGCCTTGTCTACCACTTGTCAGGTGAGTTTATGTTTGAGCTTCTTGCCTGAAGGCACTCCCAGCTCTAAGAATTTCCTGGACGAGTGTCTCAAAAGAACCTACATGTCAACCCCAACATAAAGATCTGAGTTTCAACTCTTTCTGTCTTTATTCCGCAGGCTTACAGAGTTGATGAGAAGGCCGCGGAGCAAGCTCGGTGGGAAGAGGCCTCCAAAGAAACAATCAAGAAAACCACCAAGCCCTGTCCCCGTTGCCATGTGCCTGTTGAAAAAAATGGTGAGTCTGGGCTGCCAAAAAAGTGAGGATTTGGTGAGCTCTCCTTGGAGAGCATGAGCTGTGTAGTTATAATAGGAACTCTAGGAGGATATGTAACTGAGGAGCTCAGCACTCAGGGAATTTGGAGCCATTGGCCAGAACGCAAATCTCAGCTCTCCCAGGTCAAGTTTTTTAACTGCCTAAATCCTCCTCTCTCGAGTAGAGATGAAAACAGGAGCTGCCGCACAACAGTAGAATCGTGAGATGTCACGCATGGCAGATACTCAGCCAAGTGCCTGGCTTAGACCATCAATAAAACACTAACTGCCCTTATTAGTATTAATTATTAACAATGTTAGACACTTTGTATCTGGTAAGTTGTCCACTGGTGTAGCCAAAAATATATATATTAGGGAAACTTCCCAGCCTAATATTTCTCAGGATTCTGGTATCTAGAGTTACTCAGTAGGGGAAGGGTTGCCAGGTCATTCCTATTGGATGTCCCTCTTGGATAGTAACAACAACACAAATAATTAACTCGTATTGAGCTATACTGGATGCTTATCCTAAGTTCCCTGCAAATATCAGATCATTTAACGCTCACAGAAATCACAATATGTTCCCATTCACAATCTACATTAGCAACTCAGAATTCCTTTTGTAAAGAAATCTGTTTAATTTTGTTTAATTACCTGGTTCCCAAATTTTTTGGCCATGAAATTCTTTTTTTTTTTTTCCTATCACACCAGTTTATATACCTTTGAACACCAGCATGCACTTGGGGCTTTGGTTTCTTCAGCCTTGCTGTGGGAGGTGTAGTGCCTTATATTATTATGACACTTGCTTGCTTCATTAAAATATCCTTTACATGCCTATGTTTCTCAGTACACCTATTCCTTTAGCCTTTTAGCAACTACTGTCCTAATTTTAAGAATGTAAAGTGACCATTTGGAGATGCCTCTGGGTTAACCGACATTAACTGCAGTCAGTCTTTTCGGAGCCCACCTGTAGGCCCTGCTTTGTGTGGGTTAACAGGCTTAGAAACGCAGGATCCATATTTGAACGGCTGTCTTCTTAACGGCACTCCAAACCCAAGACATCACCCCCCAGGAAGGGCTGGTGTACCCCCCCTCCGACACACACACACTCAGTAAACGCCGGAGGCCACCGTGGCAATGGCGACACATGGGGGAGCTCGCAGATGGAAGGACTGTCCTTCCCCTCCCGTCCTAATGGACAAGTAGCCCCTGTAATTAATCCACCAGGGGACACGGAGGGAGGCCCCCTCAGCTCCACGACGGTGCATCCACGCTGTGGCTTCAGTTTCTCCCCTCCCCTTGAGCTTGCGGGGCTGGGATGCCGGCACCGGGGTCCCGGCAGCCGGGTCGTGTGGCCCGCAGTGGTCACCGCGCATCCTCCCTGCTCTGCGGCGCTAGTCTGTACTCAAGAGTTCGGCTTTGGGCTGCCGGGTTCACGGTGATCGGATACCTCGCATCAACCAGTGGGGCACCTGCTGCCATCCATCGGGAATGTGCCAACCAGCGTAGAGCCATCACAGCCCGGTGCCCGGAGCCCGGAGCCCGCTCTAAGCGTGAGACGCACGTGCTCGTGTGAGCTAGCGGCAGCGGCGTGGTCACGGGTGAGAAATAAAACGGAGCACCAGGTACACCTCTTCCCACGTTCTCCTCACGGAGCCTTTGCTGCGCCTGCGTGGTGGGCCGTGAACCAATGGCTCGCCGGGGAGTGCAGCCGGCAATCTCAGGAGGGGCCCGCAAGCCTCCGTTTGCTCAGCTGTGTCCTTCAGAAGGTCTGCATCAGTGCAAACAAGAGAGCACCGAGACAGCCCAGGGCAGCAGGAGTGCGCTCCGCTCAGGCCAAGTCCCTGGCTCAGAGACCATGGTGTCCTGGAAGTAAACCAAATAAATGTGTGCCATGATCCTCGCGTTCCTCTGTGCGCTGGAATGCGCCTGGAAGGTGGGCTGGCATCCCCTCGGAAGAGAGGACGTCCTGGAACCAGGGGCAAGAACTCTTGCGGTCCTCATCGCCCGGGCGGTGCCGCGTAGGCAACTGAAGTCAGAGAAGATGCAAAGAACTTTCACCAGGCAGGGTATGCAGCGCTGATAAACACGGGCCAGTGCCCCGGTTCGCACGGATTTCAAGAATGCACATTCAGTAGTAAGAGACCATTTTGCTATTACCGAAGGGCGGGAACATTGCCTGTCTCTCCCCTGGGCCCAGAAGAGCACCTGACAAATACTCCTTGAATTAAAAAGTAGCTAGTAAAGGGGATAACACGTAAACAGATATATATTTTTAAGACTTTATTTGAGAGAGAGAGAGAGAGAGAGCACAAGCAGGGGAGAGAGGCAGAGGGAGAAGGAGAAGCAGACTCCCCGCTGAGCAAGGAGCCCGATCCGGGACTCGATCTCAGGACCCTGGGATCATGACCTGAGCAGACGGCAGACGCTTAACCACTTAACCAACTGAACCACCCAGGCGCCCCCTGATTCCCGATTTCTTTGAAATATCAGGATTTACTATAAATGGAAAGCCCTGATTTTTCACCGATAGATTTTTAACCCATGAACAGAAAAGCTGAAACTTTTAAGCTTATTAATAATAAGCTATTATTAATCTAAACTGTTTTTAAAGCATACAACAGAGACAAATGTGAGCTCTATGGGCAAGAAAAGCTGGTTTCATGATCTCATTCTCAAAGTAAATTCATGGCCTGTGTCATAGTCATCTGAAAACCAGAAAGGACTTCTTCCCACAGCAAAGCCACAAGGAAACATCAGGCTCATTCCCATTTCAAACACAGGCTAAGCCTCACTGCTCCTCGCTCCTGCCATCATCAGTCTGGGAAAGCGTCTCCCTTCCCTTCCACCTCAGACAGATGAGATTCTGCTTCCATTCTCTGATCAACAAGTGCCTGTTGCCAGTTAAAGCTCCCATTGGGTCCTTCAGGAACTTCTACTCCCTCATTAAATCTAATGAAAGAGTCGCTGGCTCCAGCCACGGTGCTGATAGGCATAGGCGCATCAGTCAGTGGACAGAATTCTCTAGGAGGGAAGCCATGTTTTCTTCATTTAGATGCCCACAAAGTCCGGTGAAGTTGTCAGCAGCTTCTTACTCACATCTATGTTATGTTGGCAAAGCTTTCAGAGTCAGAGTCCCTGGTGCTTCTCCATATTATGGGAGCTAACATATTGCCTTGCATCTATTAAGCACCCGGGGAAGTTATAAGAAAGTTAATAATATGAATATCCTCTTCCTAATTCCTTTCTTCTTCTTCTATGGAGCCATCGTGATTCTAGTTTCTATAATAAAATGTTATTTGTAATGTTAGTATTTTTGAGGATTTGGGTATTGTAGGAAAACATTATATTATTTACATCATAAGCATATAATCATTAAATATGTATTGAAAATTATACAGTCCTGGAATTGTGTAATCCTAAATGGGAAATATTAAGATAAAAGTATCATAGGTGAGTTTTCCCTTTATTTTCTGCATATTTATACTTTAGAAGTAGCAAAGTAGGGGATTTTAAATGCCCTTAAATTATCCTACGACAAATTCCTTTAGTTACATATTCATAAATATTTTAAATCAGTGGAAGTTCTCATGCCATATTTCTAATAATAAAAATAAGACAGTATGGAAGCAATTACCTGGAAAATTTGGCAAGAAAAAATGACTTAACAAGATAATTGGTAAAATTGAATAATAGAGCATATCCAGTGTTATGTCAGATTCAAGCAAAGAACTGCTTTTGCCTGAATTATCTAGGAAATCCAGTCAGAAACTGTTCTCTGCATCTAACTTCATATAAGTAACTTCCTCTGCACTCCACTGCAGACTCGATGTCTGAGCCCCAGAAGCAAATAAAAAAAATGAATTGCACAGATGCAGGAAGGGGAGGAATTCCAAAATAAGTCCCGGAATAAGGGACTGTTCATCTCCTGCTGCAAATGCCCTGTTCCATGAAAGAACAGACCCTGGGTACATCTCAGGCGTTGCCAGTTAGAATTACTTGACCTTGAGAAAATTCTACAGCAGAGTAACACTCCTACTCACTCAGTGCTTTTGAGGAGTATTGAGGTCATCCATGTAGAGTACCTAGTTTCTCCCATCTTAAATACAATTTCAGCAGCATTAAAGAATGCATTCTCCATTTAATACTTATTTTATTTTATTTTTTTAAAGATTTTATTCATTTATATGACAGAGAGAGACATAGCAAGAGAGGGAACACAAGCAGGGGGAGTGGGAGAGGGAGAAGCAGGCTTCCCGCCAAGCAGGGAGCCCAATGCGGGGCTCGATCCCAGGACCCCGGGATCATGACCTGAGCTGAAGGCTTAGCGACTGAGCCACCTAGGTGCCCCTCCATTAAATACTTTTCATACTGCTTCCCCACCTCCTTTTTCATGAACTTTGCCAAGCCACCTAATATTATAGGTTATATGTTAAATAATTAAATATATTAACATCTATTTAAGGCATTAAACAATATACATTTCAATAAGGAATTGACCCCGGCTGTGAAACACAAAGCATTTGTCTCTAAATCCCATTTCAGAAGAAGTAAATAAACTCAGATTTATAAATAAAATTTGTCCTAGGTGGGAGTGGCGTCCCTCACCCTCACTCCTTTCTTAATGAATGAACGTCCTAACTTCAGAATGCCCTTGGATGGCTTGTGACATTCCCTTAAGAAAGTCATTTCTGGAGCAGTGTGTGGGTGCGGGACGGAGTGTTCTCCGGGTGTTTGCCTGTGTCCTTTGTCTGCCCGCAGGAGGATGCATGCACATGAAGTGCCCACAGCCGCAGTGCGGGCTGGAGTGGTGCTGGACCTGCAGCTGTGAGTGGAACCGCGCCTGCATGGGAGACCACTGGTTCGATGTGTAGCCTCAGCACCGCGAGCGGGCGCCCCCTGCCGTCCAACTTGGAAACGTACAAAGGGTCCTGCCATTCCCTGCTCTTTCTCCAAACTCCCTCTCTCTCTCTCTCTCTCTCTCTTTCCCTTTCTCTCTCACGCATGCACACGCACACACACACACAGACACAGCACCCCTCAAGCTCCTTCCAAAACCACTAAAACAGAGTTACAGGAGAAGCTCCTGGGATCCCTTTCTTTGTGCCCTCGAAAAACAACAAGAAGTATTCTCGGGCCTCAGCAATACACGGTGCGTCCGCGTTTTGTAAGGATTGTCATTCTCGCAGGAATTCAAGTCACACTGGGTTTAAGTACGCAGAGAGAGATTTCTCAGGTCTAATTTCCTGCATTGTACCTTCAGCAAAGATTGGGAAGAAGCCGTTGGTGAGGAAATAGTTCGGAGGGACTATTGTCAGTGGTTCTCTATAAGACGGCCGACAGTGGGTTCTGGGAACTATATTCTCGGCTTTAAGAGCAATGCTCTTACTTAAATTTTCAGAGAGCATCTATTCCCAAAGAACCACAGGCAATAGTGAAACTCTGTGTTTATCCCTAAGAATTCTACCTTTATATATTGCATGGATGGAATATCAACTATGCATAAATCAGCTTGTCAACTAGTGAGAAATTATGAAAGTTAATTTGAATGTTGAATGTTGCCATTATAGGAAAGAAATCAAAACTTCATGTACTTTTCCTTCCATTTAATTATTTGAGACCTTAGGAAGAAATTGTTTTTCTGAGAATATTATGAAGTCTTTAATTTGGTTTTAAACATTCACTTTGCAGCTTGGGGAATAAGCTAGTACATTTGGCTTCACTGTAAATTTAATGGGGGAAGGTGCCTGTAGAGGAGACATTTTTAGAAATGGTTTTATAATGATTCTCAATGTTAATAAAAGTGCAGGGTGTTAAGGCAGAAATCTTTAAAGAAGGAGCATTTCTAGGGATAACAAAACAGAACCAAGACCAATTCTGTACCAGGAAGGTTTATGCTCCTTCTGCACCTGCTCGGTCCCCCAAGCCGCATGCTCCAGGGGCTCAGACCCCCGAATGGATTACTCCAAGGAGAGCTCCTCTCTCGGACAGTAGAGTCACACCAGAAGATTTCCTCATGTTGACCCGGATCTAAATGGAGTGTTTATCAAGTTTTCAATTTTTTTTTTTGAGGCATTCACAACACATCAAAAAGAGATGTGTTTACACCAAATGCGGCAGACCTCATTTCCTATAGCACAGTGTACAGATGAAACAGTGTGACCACTGTCTTTGGTTCTCATTATCTGTCTTCTCAGGGCTTTTCTTTGAGGACATAGCACCAGAAATCCTTGCCGGAGGAGAGAGGGAATGACCTCAGAATGTTTCCCAAGGACATCTGTCCCTCTGTCCCTACCTATCCTCCCAGGGACCATCCTGCCTGATCACCCTTTTTTCCCCCCCTCAGAGGCCGGTCCTGGGACAAGATGGGGTGTGGCAACCACAGTGGCATTAATCAGCCTCATTTGGCTTCGCTCTCTCAGAAAATCCAACCTCCCCAACATGATCCCAAAGCTGCCAGACTCATGTCACGAAGCCTTCACAATCATGGCGAGGGAACGGAGAGCCAAGTATCTGTAAACGTGAGGAAAAGGAAGGTCGCTAGGCATGAGCCCACATGTCCCAGGGGCTGGTATCAGTGAGGGCACGTTACTGACAATCCCCGCAAGTAGCTTCTCACACTGACCCAGCAGGACAAATCAGACGGCTCCCTCTGTCATGTGGAGCACCCCGCATTTTACAGCCACTATAGCTCTTGGGTTTAGGGATGCTGTCCTGACTGCTTCCCTCCAAATCTGTGTGCTGTGTTGGGTGTGCGAAGCCGGAACAGGGTTTGCTGTCATGGGTTCAGGCACGGTAGAAGTTTCTAGGGCTTTGCTCCTTTCTTTTGGTGGTGGTCTTTTTTTTTTTTTTCCTCCAGAATAGAATACTGAGACAAGTTAACAGGAAAAAACAGCCTCTGTAAAGGAATGGGAAATCACAAACCACTGTAAAGGAACATGCTTGAACATGAAATGTGTAACTGAATGTGAATATATCAAAAGCATAGAAATAAAATCTCTGCAGAAGAATCTTTATTTTTCTCTGAAGCGTGTAAAGGAATATTTGACAACTATGTCTAAGGTTGTACTCAAATTATCAATAAAAAGCATCAATAGAGCTTTTGAGTCCATCTCTGAAGATAGATTTTCGTTAAATGCTGGGGTGTTGGGAGGGTGGACACCTTGCTCCAGGAGCCTCCCTCGGGGCCTGAAGGGATCTCCTGCCCAGGCAGTGGCTGTTTTTATCTAAAAAGCAAACCATCCGTTTAAAATCTAATGGTGACTTTCCTGCTGTATCAGCAAACTTTTCTAGTAAATGTTTAATACAGAAGATTGAGTCAGGAAAAACCACAAGGATGCTCTGTGTAATGTTTCAGAAAATCTCAGTGACTTTGCATGGCTCTCATCGTGGGCGTGGTGACACTGCATTTCTTGAGAACTATTGCAGTGGCTGGAATGAGTAACAATGAGCCTGTGTTTGAGCAATCTGGAATGGAACATTCTTGGAGAACTCCTATCCATATATAAGGCAAGCCGACACCATGAGGGCCTGTTGGTGCCAAGCACCACAGTAAATGCTCTGGAGAAACACGAAGTTTCTAGGAGTGATGGCCCTGGTATTGACACCCATCTCCAGGGTGTAAATTAGAGACCTGATACTGTGGATAGAAATGAATAAGCACAGATGTGGAATGCTTATTTGAGAAGAAACAGCAGGTGTGGGGAAAAGCCAGCATCGTTGGTTGGGTGGTGTTACGTGCGCCCACCACCATCCTTGCTAGGCCATTCCTAGTACCATGGAGAGTATCAATGCTGGTTTTTTAAAAGAAAGCCCTATTTCAAAACAACACTGAACCCATCGTCCAGTTACCTGCTGTGAATAACTGTCCATTCACAAATATTTAAAAGTTTTCTCTGCAGTTTGGATAATCATGCAAAAAAAAAAGCTGAGAAGTATTGTCTGGGAAGACATTTGGCACACAGATGCATGGCTCTATCTTGGTGGGCCCACAGTGTTCCCTGATCTCATCATCTGAGGTGTGGGCTGAGAGAATCAACTTTGTTAGCATCAGAGGTAACTGGACCCCAGAAGACAGACTCACACGAGTCCAACTCATAAGAGAACAAAGTACAAAACGTAGAACATCAATTTAAATGTATATTTACAATGAGAAGCTCTTGTCCTGATCTTCACCTGTGCTTTTCCATCTGCCTGGAATCTTTCCAACCTCTTTCTTCACACCACACATTCCTCCCCGCTTTGGCTGGCCAGCCTCAGATCTCCAGCTCTCCCAGAACCCTTCTCTCCCCATCCTGGCCTTCAACTGAAGGTCCTTCCTGGCCTTCAACTGAAGGTTCCCAGGGCCACACGACTTCCCACATCAGAGCTGTGTGGTGTTCTCCCAGTGCCAGCAAATTCTCCACTTCTCCACACAGCAACGGGGTGTCCTACAAGTCAATTCGATTCTGACATTACCTGGAATGTCAGGCCCTACAGGTAAGAGCTCAGTTTCACCCGACCACCCCCACGTCACACATGGCCCAAGTCCCCGGTTGCCAACTATACTGCTCATTGACGGGCTATGAATCTGGGGTCCCCATGAGCCCCTCCTCAGGCTCAGTCCCTCACTAGAAAACTCACAAAACTCAGGAGAGTGCTTTACTTACTATTACTGGCTTGTGATAAAGAATCCAAACTCAAGGATCGCCCGAATAGAGAGGTGCATGGGCGGGGATGGGGTGGGATTGGGTGAGTGTGCAGAGCTTCCGTGAGGCCTACAGGGGCACCACCTTCCCAGCAACAACTGGGAAGCTCTCTGAAACCCCTTCTTTAGGGGTTTCTACAGAGGTTTCATTAAGTAGGCACAATTGATAATATCATTGGCCATTAGTAATTAATTCCATCTGCAGCCTTCTGGAGATGGTTAGGGACTGGGGCTGCAAGTTCCAGCCCTCTAATCATGCCTTGGTTTTTCTGGCAAGCAGCCCCCAGCCTAAAGCTATCTGAGACAGCCCCCCCAACCACAGATAACTCATTGGCATGCAGAAGACATTCATGGCTCCAGAGATTCCAAAACTTTGGGAGCTATGTGCCAGGAACCAAGTATATATGTCTTATATTTATTTATATTTATTATTATTTACTTGCCTATATATATATATATATATATATATACACACACACACATATATATGGGAGATATATATATATATATAGCTAAGGAACTGCATTTTGGAATTCTGAGCAAATCTACATGGAAAATCAAACTACAATGGAAAGCATCCTTGCTGAGCCTAGACCGTGCTCAGTGACTTAGCTCAACGTGTGGACGAGTGACCCCTGGACAGATGTATCATTTTCCATTACAAATGTACATCTGACACGGGCTAGGAACCCCTGGCCTCAGATCAGGTAACCTTACCTCAAAGAGTTAGTGAGCTGTGTGGCCAAAGGACTGTACTTTTAAACTCCTGTTATGACTGCATCACCCGCCTCCCTGTCACTGCTCCAGTGAGCTCACCTGTACCCTGGCTGTTCCGAAGGCTCTGCGGCTGTGCAAGCAGAGGCTCACTCCCCTGTGTTTCCTTTCTGTAGATGGTTTGTTTCATCCACAGTTCTTGGATTTTTAATTCCAACCTCAGACAGACTTTAATGGCATTTTTGAAGGATGCTATTCAGCATCAAATCTCCACTCAGTATTCTTTCCCCGGAAAGTTTTCCTTATGTGTTTATTTTTATTGTAAAACAGTTATTCCATTATTACATGCTTGTTACAGAAAATAAAGAAGGGGAAAGGAAAGAAGAAAAACCACCATCTAGAAATAATTGTTTTGCATCTTACATATTTCCATTTAAAAACACAGGATGAGCATCTACCTGTGTCAATAGATTTCTACACTGACAGTTTTCCAGGACCTCATCATGGTCTCCTATATATATACTAATTAAGT